CAGTGGCGTGCTTTTCGGGCCCCGCTTGGGGTCGTCTTGGGGGCCTCTTTGGCCCCTCTTGGGTGTCTATTGGGTCGTCTTTGGCTGGTTCTTGGGCCATCCTTGGGTCGTCTTGGACGCTCTTGCTGACCGTGGTGAGAGGGAAGGGCTGCAGAAGCTTATGGCTTCATGCTTTGGGCCTCTTAGGTTGGCCCCCCGGGGTCCAGGACCTGCAGGATGGCCCGCGAGACTTCCAAGAGTGCCGCGGTTGGTCCGTGGCCGTTTTGGCTCAAGATTTATTACTTGCTGCCAGCTCCTTCTGCGAAGGCGACCATCCCTGCCATCAATGACCTCGGCCATGGAGCTCGCGGAGGTCGGCGGCGAGGCGAGCGGGTCGGAGCAGTTCCTGGTCCAGGACGCTCGCGCCCAGCGCTCGCCTTGGCGAGCGGCGGGCGGCGCCGCCGCGGGGCTCCTGCTCCTGGCGGCGCAGGCGGGGGGGCGGCCGCACTTTGCGCTGCGCGGGGCGGCCTCGAGCGGTGGGGGCCCGCTGAGGAGAGCAAGCAGCAGACGATCGCCTTTCCCGCGCGCGACCAGTGCTCCAACTGGGACGAGGATTGCTACAGTAAGGGGTGCTGCAACGTTGCGGGCCTGACGTGCTTCGAGACCAAGCCAGGGAAGGGCGAATGCCTGAAGAATTGCACGCCCAGCGATTCCAAGCTCTGCAATCAGCCGCAAGCGATCATGGAGCCGGTCTTGGCGGATGCTGTCCTGTACGACCCGACGCTGTATTGTTTCGCAATCGTTATGCAGGACATCGGCAGCACGAAGAAGTACTACGACCTGGAGCTTCTCCAGGGAGCGTATGCGAAGGGGACCACCATCTTTGGTTGTGATTCTTGGGGGGTGTTCAGCGACGCAGACGCCGAGCTTGCGCCTGGCGTTCCTATCACGAAGGTGGATGACGTCGACGGAGACTTCCACTTCGCGAAGAGGGAGGAGACCGGCACCTGGCTGAACACAGGCCTGCACTACCAGGCCTGGAAGGGCCATTCAGGAGGTGGGCAAGTACATATTACCAAATATAATTAAAAAATATAAAAACACGGTTAAAAAAACAACATTAATAAAACAACTATCATAAATACTACATAAACACACGCAAAAATATGAACCAAAAACAAAATAAAGAAAAATTCAAATTTAAAAGTAAACAAAAAGGTCAATAACGCACTGCCAACTTGGGTCGTGAAAACAAAGCTCGATGCGGACGCGGTGAATTGAATCCCGAGCCGTCTGTAGTACTGGTTGTCAGACAGTAGTCCCGCCGCGGGCATCTACCTCGAAAATTGCCAGTACGTCAAGTATGGTTGGTTCGGCAGCCTGGAGATCTTCTCGAAGGCCGCGTTCGAGACACTCCTGGGGACGATGGCCTCGTGCAAGAACGGTGGGATCGACTGGAAGGTGGGCGTAGATGGCGGCAAGTACGGGCCCATGGGCGAGGATTTGTTTGCGCAGACCTGCCTGGACGCGAACGGCGTCAAGCGCGGGATCGGATACGGCTCCAAGCTGGACGGGACGTGCGAGGCGGACAGGCCCCTCTCGGAAAAGAAGAACAAGAAGTGGAAGCCCAATTGCGACACCGTCGCCACCACAACATACCACCCGTTCATGAAGCCAGAGGATTATTGGGCGTGCTACGAGGCCACCATGAAGGCGTTCCCGGTGTACCCGCCGCCTCCTGCCCCCTGATCTCGACGGCACCCCTCTGGCGTTTCGTGGCCCTCCGCCCCTCGCGACGGCCGCCTTGCCTGCCCGCCGTTGCCTGCCTCCCCATTGGGACGGTGCGGTGTGGCGAATTCGTCAGCGGACTGTCGGGCGATCTCGCTCACTCCTACCCGCGACGTGAAGACGTCGAGAGGTCGAGCCGGGCGCGTGTGCGTCCGTGCGAGAGTGAAAGGAGGCATTGCCCGACGCCCTCCTGTCCCCGCAGCCGCGCCCAAATGAGCACGGCGGCGCGCCCATTTTGCCAGGACGTCACGAGGTCGAGAGTCGAGCCGAGTTTCCGGGCTCCTGTGCGAGAGGCGCAGTGGCTTGAAGCAGTGGCTGGAGCTCTACGTGTCAGTGCGTTTGTAGGGCGAATTGAGTTTACGAAGCCTGTGCGAGAGGCATCCCCCTCCACCAGATGCATTTGTTTTCCATCACGGGCACGCTCTGTTGTCCGTGCCGCCAGGGCATGTCCAGTGCTAGCTCGATGTTGCCCGTTCCTCTTGCCCTCGTTCCCCGTCCGTCGCCGTGCAGCACAGGCTGCACTTCTCGGGCTGCACTTGCCGGGAGGCGTCCCCTCCCCAGGCCGCCCCAGCCGCCGAGACTGGCCCTGCCGGTGCCCCGGCGGGCTTGCCGAGGCCGGCCCCGAGGGTGCTCCGGCGGACCTGGGTGGCCCAAAAAGATGGCCCGTGCTGACCCACAGATCGCGGGGATCGGTTTATGGGCCCCGCGTCCCCACGGCCGGATTCCCGTCGAGCTTCCTGTCAAAACGCAACCCTGGAGAGGGCTGGAGGTTTGTTCCCCGCCCGACAGGTTGCGGTCGTTAGATTAGCAGAACAGAACTCTCGATCTGTCCACTCTGTATACCGCAGCTTGCCAGATCCCCGGGCCCCCGAGTGCCCCCGAGAGTCCCGCCTCACGCCAGTTTGCATACCGCGGCCGTCAGATCACCAGGTGCCCCGAGTGTGTCCCCGAGAGTCCCGCCTCGCGCCACTCTGCATACAGCGGCCGCCAGCGCCGACTCGCCCACTCGGCATACCGCGGCCGCCAGATCCCCGCCAGCGCCGACTCGCCCACTCGGCATACCGCGGCCGCCAGATCCCCAGGTCCCCCGAGTGTCCCCGAGTGTCCCTCCTCATGCCACTCGGCATACCGCGGCCGCCAGCACCCGAGGTTCCCCTAGTGTCCCCGAGTGTCCCGCCTCGCGCCGAGAAATCATAACATGACAGAGCGGCATTAAAATATAATATAGCATAGTGCAGCGCAACACTACAAAACATGGCAGAGTATAGCATAGCACCACACCACCTAAACAAACATGTCCGAGCATGCCATACCATAGCATGACATACCACATCTTAACACAACACACTATGGCAGAGCAGTGCATACCATACAGCATAACAGCACAGCTCATACCATAATACATCATCGCACAGCTGAGCATATCACATAACAGGTCACTGCTTCATACACCATGGCATATCATTTCATAGCACAACGCAGCATGGCACCGCATGCCATGACTCATCGGAGCATCCATAACATACCGTAACACATACTCCGATGTTATACCATGGCATGACATACCATAACATAGCATGACACACACACACCACACACCATAACGCAGCATCACATCACACATACCATTCCATGTATCATCGCAGCACGTATGACCACTCATAGCATGACAGTGCTCGGCATACTATGTAGCATCATAACATACCACAACCTAGCATGGCATCATAAGCTATGACATAATGTATCATACAGAACATAGCATAACACCATATCTCAAAACATCACATAACATAACATACCACAACATACCATGCCATGACACATCATAACCTGACACACCATGGCAGAACACATCACACCGTAGCACATCATCAAACCACATAGCATTCCATATCCTTTCAATCGCGACGTGCGCATGGGTCCGCAGTGGAGAGCTTGGAGAGCTCCAGTGGCCGCAGTGGAAGTGGGATGGCCGCCCCTGGCTGATGATATTGGAGGGGTTGGTTTTCAGCGGTGCGACACAGTGGCGTGCTTTTCGGGCCCCACTTGGGGTCGTCTTGGGGGCCTCTTTGGCCCCTCTTGGGTGTCTATTGGTTCGTCTTTGGCTGGTTCTTGGGCCATCCTTGGGTCGTCTTGGACGCTCTTGCGACCGATGTGGTGAGAGTGTTGAGGTCACGCAGAAACTGATGGCTTTGCAGATTTGGGCCTCTTGGGTTGGCCCCCCGGGGTCCAGGACCTGCAGGACGGCCCGCGAGACTTCCAAGAGTGCCGCGGTTGGTCCGTGGCCGTTTTGGCTCAAGATTTATTATTTGGTGCCAGCTTCTTCTGCGAAGGCGACCACCCCTGCCATCAATGACCTCGGCCATGGAGCTCGCGGAGGTCGGCGGCGAGGCGACCGGGGGAGCAGCTTCCAGGACGCTCGGCCCAGCGCTTCGCCTTGGCGAGCGGCGGCACGCGCCGCCCGCGGGGCTCTGCTGCTCCTGGCCGGCGCAGGCGGGGGGGCGGCGCACTTTGCGCTGCGCGGGCGGCCTCGAGCGTGGCGTGGGCCCCGCGAGAGCAAGCAGCAGACGATCGCCATTCCCGCGCGCGACCAGTGCTCCAAACTGGGACGAGGATTGCTACATACAGGGTGCTGCAACGTTGCGGGCCTGACGTGCTTCGAGACCAAGCCAGGGAAGGGCGAATGCCTGAAGAACTGCACGCCCAGCGATTCCAAGCTCTGCAATCAGCCGCAAGCGATCATGGAGCCGGTCTTGGCGGATGCTGTCCTGTACGACCCGACGCTGTATTGTTTCGCGATCGTTATGCAGGACATCGGCAGCACGAAGAAGTACTACGACCTGGAGCTTCTCCAGGGAGCGTATGCGAAGGGGACCACCATCTTTGGTTGTGATTCTTGGGGGGTGTTCAGCGACGCAGACGCCGAGCTTGCGCCTGGCGTTCCTGTCACGAAGGTGGATGACGTCGACGGAGACTTCCACTTCGCGAAGAGGGAGGAGACCGGCACCTGGCTGAACACAGGCCTGCACTACCAGGCCTGGAAGGCCATTCAGGCGGAGGGCAAGTACGCCACTGCCAACTGGGTCGTGAAGCTCGATGCGGACGCGGTGATGATCCCGAGCCGTCTGAAGTACTGGTTGTCAGACAAGTACGTCCCGCCCGCGGGCATCTACCTCGAAAATTGCCAGTACGTCAAGTATGGTTGGTTCGGCAGCCTGGAGATCTTCTCGAAGGCCGCGTTCGAGACACTCCTGGGGTCGATGGCCTCGTGCAAGAACGGTGGGATCGACTGGAAGGTGGGCGTAGATGGCGGCAAGTACGGGCCCATGGGCGAGGATTTGTTTGCGCAGACCTGCCTGGACGCGAACGGCGTCAAGCGCGGGATCGGATACGGCTCCAAGCTGGACGGGACGTGCGAGGCGGACAGGCCCCTCTCGGAAAAGAAGAACAAGAAGTGGAAGCCCAATTGCGACACCGTCGCCACCACAACATACCACCCGTTCATGAAGCCAGAGGATTATTGGGCGTGCTACGAGGCCACCATGAAGGCGTTCCCGGTGTACCCGCCGCCTCCTGCCCCCTGATCTCGACGGCGCCCCTCTGGCGTTTCGTGGCCCTCCGCCCCTCGCGACGGCCGCCTTGCCTGCCCGCCGTTGCCTGCCTCCCCATTGGGACGGTGCGGTGTGGCGAATTCGTCAGCGGACTGTCGGGCGATCTCGCTCACTCCTACCCGCGACGTGAAGACGTCGAGAGGTCGAGCCGGGCGCGTGTGCGCCCGTGCGAGAGTGAAAGGAGGCCTTGCCCGACGCCCTCCTGTCCCCGCAGCCGCGCCCAAATGAGCACGGCGGCGCGCCCATTTTGCCAGGACGTCACGAGGTCGAGAGGTCGAGCCGAGTTTCCGGGCTCCTGTGCGAGAGGCGCAGTGGCTTGAAGCAGTGGCTGGAGCTCTACGTGTCAGTGCGTTTGTAGGGCGAATTGAGTTTACGAAGCCTGTGCGAGGAGGGTCCCCTTACTCCGGATTGCATTTGTTTTCCATAACGGGACGCTCTGTTGTCCGTGCCGCCAGGGCATGTCCAGTGCTAGCTCGATGTTGCCCGTTCCTCTTGCCCTCTCCCCGTCCGTCGCCGTGCAGCACAGGCTGCACTTCTCGGGCTGCACTTGCCGGGAGGCGTCCCCTCCCCAGGCCGCCCCAGCCGCCGAGACTGGCCCTGCCGGTGCCCCGGCGGGCTTGCCGAGGCCGGCCCCGGAGCACCCTCGGCGGACCTGGGTGGCCCAAAAAGATGGCCCGCGCTGACCCACAGATCGCGGGGACCGGTTTATGGGCCCCGCGTCCCCACGGCCGGATTCCCGTCGAGCTTTTTGTTAAAACGCAACCCTGGAGAGTGCTGGGGGTTTGTTCCCCACCCGGCAGGTTGGGGCCGTTAGATTTTCAGAACAGAACTCTCGATCTGTCCACTCTGCATTGCCAGATCCCCGGGCCCCCCGAGTGCCCCCGAGAGTCCCGCCTCACGCCAGTTTGCATACCGCGGCCGTCAGATCACCAGGTGCCCCGAGTGTGTCCCCGAGAGTCCCGCCTCGCGCCACTCTGCATACCGCGGCCGCCAGCGCCGACTCGCCCACTCGGCATACCGCGGCCGCCAGATCCCCAGGTCCCCCGAGTGTCCCCGAGTGTCCCTCCTCATGCCACTCGGCATACCGCGGCCGCCAGCACCCGAGGTTCCCCTAGTGTCCCCGAGTGTCCCGCCTCGCGCCGAGAAATCATAACATGACAGAGCGGCATTAAAATATAATATAGCATAGTGCAGCGCAACGCTACAAGACATGGCAGAGTATAGCATAGCACCACACCACCTAAAAAAACATGTCCGAGCATGCCATACCATAGCATGACATACCACATCTTAACACAACACACTATGGCAGAGCAGTGCATGCCATACAGCATAACAGCACAGCTCATACCATAATACATCATCGCACAGCTGAGCATACCAAAGCATAACAGGTCACTGCTTCATATACCATGGCATATCATTTCATAGCACAACGCAGCATGGCACCGCATGCCATGACTCATCGGAGCATCCATAACATACCGTAACACATACTCCGATGTTATACCATGGCATGACATACCATAACATAGCATGACACACACACACACCCACCACACACCATAACGCAGCATCACATCACACATACCATTCCATGTATCATCGCAGCACGTATGACCACTCATAGCATGACAGTGCTCGGCATACTATGTAGCATCATAACATACCACAACCTAGCATGGCATCATAAGCTATGACATAATGTATCATACAGAACATAGCATAACACCATATCTCAAAACATCACATAACATAACATACCACAACATACCATGCCATAACACATCATAACCTGACACACCATGGCAGAACACATCACACCGTAGCACATCATCAAACCACATAACATTCCATATCCTTTCAATCGCGACGTGCGCATCGTTGGGAAGAAACACCGAAGGTTTCGGTGGGGATCGCTCGCAGCAACATGATTTACGAGGGGTGGCCCGAAAAGATGGCTTGAGCTACTCACAGATCGTCCGAGTCACTTCAGGGAGGGAGCGTTCAAGGAGCCGCCTCCCCCCTCTCCCCCCAGACCCCCCCCAGAGACCCCCGCCGCCCCCCCTGACCCCCTCCGGGACCCCACCCCCCAGGACCCCCCCCTCTGGCGGGGAAGGGTGGACAGGGAAGGGGCTTCCCCTCGACTCGATTGCGACCTAGGTCGGTTCACTTCGGGCTGGCGAGCTTGGAGAGCTCCAGTGGCCGCAGTGGAAGTGGGATGGCCGCCCCTGGCTGATGATATTGGAGGGGTTGGTTTTCAGCGGTGCGACACAGTGGCGTGCTTTTCGGGCCCCGCTTGGGGTCGTCTTGGGGGCCTCTTTGGCCCCTCTTGGGTGTCTATTGGTTCGTCTTTGGCTGGTTCTTGGGCCATCCTTGGGTCGTCTTGGACGCTCTTGCGACCGATGTGGTGAGAGTGTTGAGGTCACGCAGAAACTGATGGCTTTGCAGATTTGGGCCTCTTGGGTTGGCCCCCCGGGGTCCAGGACCTGCAGGACGGCCCGCGAGACTTCCAAGAGTGCCGCGGTTGGTCCGTGGCCGTTTTGGCTCAAGATTTATTATTTGGTGCCAGCTTCTTCTGCGAAGGCGACCAACCCTGCCATCAATGACCTCGGCCATGGAGCTCGCGGAGGTCGGCGGCGAGGCGAGCGGGTCGGAGCAGTTCCTGGTCCAGGACGCTCGCGCCCAGCGCTCGCCTTGGCGAGCGGCGGGCGGCGCCGCCGCGGGGCTCCTGCTCCTGGCCGGCGCAGGCGGGGGGGCGGCGCACTTTGCGCTGCGCGGGGCGGCCTCGAGCGTGGGCCCCCGCGAGAGCAAGCAGCAGACGATCGCCTTTCCCGCGCGCGACCAGTGCTCCAACTGGGACGAGGATTGCTACAGCAAGGGGTGCTGCAACGTTGCGGGCCTGACGTGCTTCGAGACCAAGCCGGGGAAGGGCGAATGCCTGAAGAACTGCACGCCCAGCGATTCCAAGCTCTGCAATCAGCCGCAAGCGATCATGGAGCCGGTCTTGGCGGATGCTGTCCTGTACGACCCGATGCTGTATTGCTTCGCAATCGTTATGCAGGACATCGGCAGCACGAAGAAGTACTACGACCTGGAGCTTCTCCAGGGAGCGTATGCGAAGGGGACCACCATCTTTGGTTGTGATTCTTGGGGGGTGTTCAGCGACGCAGACGCCGAGCTTGCGCCTGGCGTTCCTGTCACGAAGGTGGATGACGTCGACGGAGACTTCCACTTCGCGAAGAGGGAGGAGACCGGCACCTGGCTGAACACAGGCCTGCACTACCAGGCCTGGAAGGCCATTCAGGCGGAGGGCAAGTACGCCACTGCCAACTGGGTCGTGAAGCTCGATGCGGACGCGGTGATGATCCCGAGCCGTCTGAAGTACTGGTTGTCAGACAAGTACGTCCCGCCCGCGGGCATCTACCTCGAAAATTGCCAGTACGTCAAGTATGGTTGGTTCGGCAGCCTGGAGATCTTCTCGAAGGCCGCGTTCGAGACACTCCTGGGGTCGATGGCCTCGTGCAAGAACGGTGGGATCGACTGGAAGGTGGGCGTAGATGGCGGCAAGTACGGGCCCATGGGCGAGGATTTGTTTGCGCAGACCTGCCTGGACGCGAACGGCGTCAAGCGCGGGATCGGATACGGCTCCAAGCTGGACGGGACGTGCGAGGCGGACAGGCCCCTCTCGGAAAAGAAGAACAAGAAGTGGAAGCCCAATTGCGACACCGTCGCCACCACAACATACCACCCGTTCATGAAGCCAGAGGATTATTGGGCGTGCTACGAGGCCACCATGAAGGCGTTCCCGGTGTACCCGCCGCCTCCTGCCCCCTGATCTCGACGGCGCCCCTCTGGCGTTTCGTGGCCCTCCGCCCCTCGCGACGGCCGCCTTGCCTGCCCGCCGTTGCCTGCCTCCCCATTGGGACGGTGCGGTGTGGCGAATTCGTCAGCGGACTGTCGGGCGATCTCGCTCACTCCTACCCGCGACGTGAAGACGTCGAGAGGTCGAGCCGGGCGCGTGTGCGCCCGTGCGAGAGTGAAAGGAGGCCTTGCCCGACGCTCTTCTGTCCCCGCAGCCGCGCCCAAATCAGCACGGCGGCGCGCCCATTTTGACAGGACGCCACGAGGTCGAGAGGTCGAGCCGAGTTTCCGGGCTCCTGTGCGAGAGGCGCAGTGGCTTGAAGCAGTGGCTGGAGCTCTACGTAGGATGTCAGTGCGTTTGTAGGGCGAATTGAGTTTACGAACCCTGTGCAAGAGGCGTCCCCTTCCACCGGATGCATTTGTTTTCCATCACGGGCACGCTCTGTTGTCCGTGCCGCCAGGGCATGTCCAGTGCTAGCTCGATGTTGCCCGTTCCTCTTGCCCTCGCCCCCCGTCCGTCGCCGTGCAGCACAGGCTGCACTTCTCGGGCTGCACTTGCCGGGAGGCGTCCCCTCCCCAGGCCGCCCCAGCCGCCGAGACTGGCCCTGCCGGTGCCCCGGCGGGCTTGCCGAGGCCGGCCCCGAGGGTGCTCCGGCGGACCTGGGTGGCCCAAAAAGATGGCCCGCGCTGACCCACAGATCGCGGGGACCGGTTTATGGGCCCCGCGTCCCCACGGCCGGATTCCCGTCGAGCTTCCTGTCAAAACGCAACCCTGGAGAGGGCTGGAGGTTTGTTCCCCACCCGACAGGTTGGGGTCGTTAGATTTTCAGAACAGAACTCTCGATCTGTCCACTCTGTATACCGCGGCCGCCAGATCCCTGGGCCCCCCGAGTGCCCCCGAGAGTCCCGCCTCACGCCAGTTTGCATACCGCGGCCGCCAGATCCCCAGGTGCCCCGAGTGTGTCCCCGAGAGTCCCGCCTCGTGCCACTCGGCATACCGCGGCCGCCAGAACCCGAGGTTCCCCTGGGGTCCCCGAGTGTCCCGCCTCGCGCCGAGAAATCATAACATGACAGAGCGGCATTATAATATCACATAGCATAGTGCAGCGCAACACTATAAGACATGACATAACATAGCATAGCACCACACCACATAAAACACATGTCCGAGCATGCCATACCATAGCATGACATACCACATCTTAGCGCAACACACTATGGCAGAGCAGTGCATGTCATACAGCATAACAGCACAGCTCATACCATAACACATCATCGCACAGCTGAGCATACCAAAGCATAACAGGTCACTGCTTCATACACCATGGCACATCATATCATAGCACAACGCAGCATGGCACCGCATGCCATGACTCATCGGAGCATCCATAACATACCGTAACACATACTCCGATACTATACCATGGCATGACATACCATAATATAGCATGACACACACACACCCACCCACCACACAC